ACACAGCATGTATAAATTCTGACACAGCAAGCTCAAGATCTGACATTTTAAAATGTGGCTACAGGAGAATAACTTAAGTTAAAAACAAGATTTTTAAAGCATGTTATAGTTGAAACTGATGACTTAAAGTGCCCATAAAATTAAATATGGATATCCTGAAATGTATTAACCTGATAATAACCTAGTTTAGATGGCCAACTGATGAGAATATTGAAAACCTGGAGCTATCTTTAACTGTTCTAATTATTATTCGAAAACAGAACAAAAGTGTCAATAGCTTCAATATCCCACTGTTGCTACAAAGGTATGATTACGGCAAAAAGCTTTTTTTTTTTTTTTTTAAAGCAAACCTTGTTCTAGGATGTTGCAGCAAGTTAAACTACCAAGTTTATAACGCCATGAAAGTTAGATTTAAAAGTAAAAGAGGGCTTCCCTGGTGACGCAGTGGTTAAGAATCTGCCTGCCAATTCCGGGGACACAGGTTGGAAGCCTGGTCCAGGAAGATCCCACATGCCGCGGAGCAACTAAGCCCGTGCACCACGACTACTGAGCATGCGCTCTAGAGCCCGCGAGCCACAACTACTGAAGCCCCCACACCTAGAGCCTGTGCTCTGCAACAAGGGAAGCCACCACAGTAAGAAGCACGTGCACCGCAACGAAGAGTAGTCCGCACTCACCACAACTAGAGAAAAGCCCGCACCAGCAACAAAGACCCAAAGCAGCCAAAGATAAATAAATATTTTTTAAAAAAAAGTAAAACAGAACTTCTACAAAGCAAATCGGACTAATATACTTTATGTTAAAAAACCCAGAATCCATATTGTAAAATGTCAATTTGGCCATTCAAGACCTGAAACATTTTGCAGTATTACAAATGTGATAGCTAAGATAGCCAAGGTTTTCACTATCTACAATGCCAATTAATTCTCATCACCCTCAAACTTAGCAATGGGAATTTAGGATAAAACTTTTCCCCTCCACATCCAGCATCCTGAATAATCAACATGAGCACCATGTGTGTAAAGGTAACATAACAAAACCCTAAAGGGAATTCCCTGGAGGTCCAGTGGTTAGGACTCCTCGCTCTCACTTCCGAGGGGCCGGGGTTCGATCCCTGGTCAGGGAACTAAGATCCCACAAGCCTCGCAGTGCGGCCAAAACAAACAAACAACAACAAAAACCCACAAAGCCCTAGAGCACTTGAACACACAAGGTCATAATAAACACAACACACACACCCTCTACTCCAGCCCTGGGTGGTAACTCACTTGTTCAAATGTCTTTCCAATACGTCAGTATGGATTCTTTCACTCCCTACCGAGGCCCATTCCAAACTGGTTGAAATAGTTATTGAGCAAAGTTTAAATTACTGGCTGACCAAAATTTTTCACTTGTTTGGCTGGTTTTGACATCTAGAGAAAGTAATTTTTTTTTTTTAAAAAAAAGGCCTATTTACCTGCACTACTAAAGGTAGTAGTAGTAGAAACGTAAGGTACAAAAGCACTACTAAAAAATGTTCATCTTAGGGTATTTTACACCAAACTGCTCCAAAAAGAAAGGGAGAAGTTCTACCTAGAACAGAGCCCAAAGGGATAAATTAAGAATTATTCCTAGGGAATGGAAAGAAAATAACACATCATGAATAGAAGTAGTACTTAAGCAGGAAAAAGAAAACTTTTAAAGTCTCATAAATATTTGGAGGCAAAACAGAGATGGTTTGTGAAATGTCTTAAGGAAGTGACTTGGCTATAGATAGAAATGTCCATTTTTAAAGATTCAGGGTGGGCTAGAACCTAAAGGGCTAGTCAATTCTAACATTAGGGCACAAAATCTTTTTCCACTTCAGTGCGGGGGCATTTTCAATTCATGAAGGAAGGCTGGGTATTAGGAAACTGTACACTGATGCTTGGAAGAGCATCCTCTAGTTCTGCACTGTCCAGTATGATAGCCACTAGCCACATGTGGCTACTGAACATCTGATTTGTAGCTAACAAAACTCAGGAACTAAATTTTCAATTGTATTTATTTGAAAGTTTACTTCCTTAGTCACACATTTCAAGTGCTCATGGCAAGAGGCTACCTTGTTGCACAGCAGATATAAAACATTTCTCTCATCACAGAAAGCTCTATTAGACAGTGCCGCTTGAATCCTTTACTCAGCCATGAAAATGATGTCAAGAGACCACAATTTAACACCTGAACTATTTCTTAACTCTGTTAACAGGCACCATGCTAAATGTTGTGTACATTACGGACAACTAGAAGAGCTAGTTTCTCCCTCAAAACATAATCCAGTGAAAGAGACATAACTAGTAAGAATGAAATAAATGCAGATTAATTCTAATAAATAAAAGCACTACGGGTTTGGTTGGAGTAAGATGATCACCTTCACTTACTAAGTGCACTGATGCACCGGGTACCTGAAAACAAGTTTCGGCGTCTCGGAGCTCTGGGCTAATGTCCCAACTATACACTCATTAACAAAGCACTTCATCTCTTCATATCTGTATCTTCTCATCTATAAAATGGGGATAATAATGCTGACCTACTTACAACTTAAGGTTTCATCATATGAGATTAGGGTTAAAGGAGCTTCAGAAACGAAAGTACTCTTTATTTTCTGTATCTCAAATAGGGTGAGGTGGGGAATCAAGATGGCTTCACAAAAGTGACATCTGAGGTGGATTTTGACGTGCCTCTGAGATCCTACCAGATAGGATCCTGTAGAAAGCAATTCGAATTTTTCCGCCACATCTCAGATGACAGAAATGATATCTGAATGGCACAGTGGGGTACATGAATGGGGCTCTGGGAGGCCCAGGATCTATCCCCCAACTACCCTGAGGGCTGAGGGGACCCCCATCTCAGTACAGCACACGATATTTGGGGGGCGGGGGGTCTCTGCCAGAGGACTAGAACTGGGTCTCCTGAAAGAATCCTGGATTTTGGTGTCTGCCAGTCTGATGCAGTCTGAGCCTCACTGGTTCTAAGGCCTTCAAAATACCACTTAGCCACTTGAGTTTCCTCATCTGTAAAACAGAGTGACATCCTGACCTCACCGATAGCAGAGAACACATGTAGAGTTACTTCCTATGCTATAAAGGGCCTACCACATACAGGCTGTCCAAAACAGCGCTAAGCTTCATTTGCTCAGCTTTCTGCTATGAAGCTCACGGGGGTATCAGAGAGCTGTGCAGGTGCCCATCTTTCCCCAGCAGACTGTAAGCAATTTGAGGCAAAGAACATGCCCCACACTGAGTAATCAGTATTCCACCTCACCATTATTTATCCAGTGCCTACACTCTGCCTGACACCATGCTAGATGTTCATGTGGATTATCCTGTTTACTCTTCACCCCAAGTTGTTTGAGCCTCCGTTTTTTTCTCATCTGCTGAGCTCCTACTGCACAGAACTCTGAGACCGTAAAAAATGACAATGTATGTAATGATATCAGTACTGCACTTGGCACAGAACAAAGGCACAGTATCAGTTATCATTATCTCTATTTTACAGATCAGGAAACTGAGGCAAAGAGAGGTGAAGCTGCGGGGGCTCAGTAAATGGCAAAGTCAGGCTCCAGAGGCACTTGGCCTCTGGAGCCAACATGCTATCAAGCTCCCAAGCCAGTGCCTGGCACACAACAGGCTGAGCTCAATCAGTGGCTGCCAGATGCTGAGCAGGGTCTAGAACCAAGGAGAGCTGCATGAGAAGAGGAACCTGAGAGGCAAGGTCTAGGTGGTGTGGCCCCTTGACTTCTCTGCAAGGGCAGTGACTGTACCCACTTCCCAGGGCAGTGCTCAGGACTAAGTGCGAGGATATACATAAGGTCCTAGCACAGTGACTGGCACAGAATAAAGGCTCTGGAAGTGGCAGTTACCCTTGTCCTCTTTTGACAGATGAGAAAACAGAGGCTTAGAGAGAAGAAACTTGCCCGATATCACTCAGCTAGCAAGTGGCTGAGCCAAGGGCTCGATCTAGGTAATCTTACTCCGAATGCCCAGCAACTGCCTGGCACACAACAGGCTAAGGCCTGCACCCTCCACCAGGCGCTCAACGCTGCCGAGAGAATAATGGTCACAAGTGTCAGGAGGAGCCGGAGAGGAAAGCGGCTGGGTTAACTGGGAGTCCTGAGCCCCGGTCGGTGGAACCTCAGACAAGTACCTTAAACCTTCCCAGGCCTCGGTTTCCTTCTCCGAGAAATGGGGATAACACTGTCTTCAACCTCAGAAGCGCAATCAATCAGAGGCCCAGGCCTGGAAAGCCAGGCTCAGCTAAGAAGCTAGAGGGGCCTCGGGACGGGGTGCGGGAGAGGGCTACCCGGGAGGAGGACCCATGGGGGTAGAGGGAGTGTTTACCTTTGCGGAGCTCGCGGTGCCACACCGAGACGATGGGTCCCGCGTGCTTGCGGTGGTGGATGAGCCACAGGGAGAGGGTCTGCACGCTCTGCTGAGAGTTGCTCAGCTCTGAGAGCTTCTTCTCCAGCGCCGACTCGGAGAAGGAGGACATAGTGGCGGCGGTGAGGCCCGGCAGGGATCGGCCTGGGCCGCCCAGTGCGGCGGGGAGAGCGACGGCACGAGGCCGGAACCTCACCTGGCGGCCTGCGGGACTCTTTATGACTGACAGACGGCCGGGGGTCCAGGATGGGGAGGGGATGGGTCTCCGCAGTAACAGCCGCCCGCGCCGCCGCCACAAGATGGCCACCGACCTCTCACCCCGCCGCGAGAGCAGGGTCAAAGGGCAAGGGCCGGAGTGGCGGGGCACCGGGGGGAGTCAGAGTGTAGTAAAACACCTCTCCCGTGGCGAATGCCTCTTTGAAGCTCGCTCGGAGCACTCCGAAAGCGACAGACAGGGAAAAGGTCGCACTTCGGCGGCCTCCGGAAGGCGCTTTGACCGCTCGCGCCTGCACGCCGGCGCAGTGAGTGTCACCGGAACCCTTTCTCCCGCTCCCGCAGAACCTTTCTGGAGTGGTGCGGCGCGCGAGCTATGCGTCACTTCCGGCGCGGCAGAGGAGGTGCGAGAGTGAGGGAAAGGCTGGAAGACGAGGTAAGGGAGAGTGGCGCGAACGAGAGGGAGACAGCAACCGCGAGCCCTTAGAGGGGGATCCTGAGGGGATGCTGAGGCAGAGAGATCATGACCTGGGAATGGAACGGGACCTTTCTCCCTCACCTGGCAGGCCCCAGCAGCACTCTTCCTCTGTACGTGTCCTGCTCTCTGGCCGCCCCCCACAAAAAGCCTTTTTTGGTTCTGCCAAGCCACCCACGTGCACCTTTCACGCCTCCACGCCTTGGCTCTTGCTGTTCTTTTTCCAAAGGTGACGCCCCACTTCTCACGCGGTGGGCTCCCACTAGGCCTCCAGGACCACCTTTAGTGGCCAGTTCCGATGTTTAGTCTGTGACCGGACCGCCGTCAAACACACCCTTGTGCTCCCGGCTCTCAGTTGGTTGTTGTATTCAGGGAGTTACAGGCTGCCTTCTGGGGGTTCATTTGACTATTGCTCAAATTTAAGTAATACATGTTAACTTTGTGGGGGAGTGGGGTAAGGAAGTCAGTGGGTTCGTTGACCTCCTTTAAGAAACACTATTTGAGACTCTATCCTTTAACTGTTTTTAAAAAGTTTTAAATTCCAATTATCACATCAGCAGAGAAATTTGTTCTTCTAACTGCTGTGGGGTGGTGGTAGGGAGTTAGGTTATTGTAGACATAGTAGAATTTTTAAATGTCCTGATCATAGTGGAACTGACCAGTTGTGGGCAGATTCCAGTTAGGAGGCTCTGTACTAGTTGATGCCTGTTTTTGCTCATACTGCACTGTTCTTCGCTTAGGTGCTTTTACTCCTCCTTCAGAATGGAATCATCATAATCATAGCCAACATAACGAGCTGCTGCTATGGGCTAGACACTGTGTTTTCACATAGTGACTCATTTAATACAACAAAGCTACGCAGTAGGTATTATGTTATTCCCATTTGGCAAATGAGGCTGAGGGAGCTTGGGTGACCTACCCAAGATCACATAACTAAGGTTAGAGGGAAGGGACTCTACTTTATCTATCTTTTTTACCCCAGCACCTTATTCGTAGCTGACTGAGTGAATTAATATAAAATAAGTGAATAGCTTAAAATCACTGTCAATATCTAGTCATAATTATAACCTAGGGCCTTTGAGTCCAAATCTAGGCCATCTTTCTGTATTAAGTAACAGTGTCATATACTGAGCACTTTTATACCAAGTCACTGTGTATTCAGCACATTATGAACATTCTTCTATTTAATCGTTACAGCGGTCCTGTGGGGTATGGGTTATTATCAGTATTTGACAAATGAGAAAACATTAAACATGGGTGAGTAATCAGTGTCACCTGGACACAAGAAATGACAGAACCAGGAATCAAATCAAGGTTATCTTATCCCAAATTCTTCACTCCCGAGCCAGTGGTTGATTTATTCATTCAGCCGATAATTTTTGAGAACCTATGTCTGAAGCACTATTCTAGGCAAACAGACAGAATCCATGTCCTGGGAAGCTTACCTTCTGCAGGGGAAGATAAACATGTGTGTAAAATGAGCCCGAAAGTTATAAATGCCTTGAATAAAAATAAAGGAAGGTAAGAGGTATGAGCACGTATGGGCGGATAGGCGTGTATTATATATACTGGTCAGAGAAGGCCTCACTGATATGGTGACATTTGATCACAGCCTTCAAAGAAATGAGAGAACAAGCCCTATGCTATGTGGTGAATGTTCCAGGCAGAGGGAAAACCAAGTGCAGAGTCCTGAGGTCAGACCATTATTGGCATTTTCAAGGACCAGCAAGGAGGACAGCTCAAGTGATGTGAACCAGAAGGCTAGAAATGAGCTTAGAAAAGTTGCCAGGGACCATATCATGTGGGGGACTATAGGCAATAGTAAGGACTTTGGATATTACTCGGAATGAAACAAGAGTCCATTGGACCATTTTGAGCAAAAGAGGAGCGTGTGGCTATTAAGTAGAAAATAGACAGTAAGGGTGCAAAGGTAGGAGCAGGAGGACCAGTTCTGCTGCTGTCATGATAACTCAGGTGAAAGGAAGACTCAGACCAGGGTGGAGGTTGTGAGAAAGGGTCAGATTCTGGGGATATTTTAGAGGAAGAGATCACAGGATTAACTGACAGCATAGGTATGAGGTATAAAAGAAGCAAGAGCTTATATGGCCCTAAGGGTTTTAGCCTAAGCAACCATAAGAATGGAGTTTGCATGTATGTACTGAACTGTGGGAAGAGCTGGTTTGGGTAGTAAGAGCAGGAGTTTAGATTTGTATGTGTCTAATTGGAAATGCCTGTCCAAGTAGAGGTATCTCATAGGCAATTGGGTTTATGGGTCTGGAGTTCAAGGGAGAGATCTGAGGTAGAGCTGTAAATGTGGGAGTCATAAGGGGGAATAGGTATAGAAAGAAAAGAGGCCCAGTGACTAAGTCCTAGGACACTTCAACATTTAGAGGTCAGAAAGATGAGGATGATATAATCATGTGATTTATCTTCTTTAGCCTGTTAATATTAATAACAGTGATTGATTTTCAAATATTGAGCCAGCCTTACATCCCTGGAATTTAGTCCTACTTTGTCATGGTGTGTAATTCTTTTTACATACTGCTAAATTATATTTCCTCATATTTTGTTTGGGATTTTGGCATCTATATTCGTGAGGGAAATTGGTCTGCCGTTTTAAAATTTTTTTATATTATCTTTATTGAGTTTTGGTATCAGGGTAATACTAGCTTCAAAAAATGGATTGGAAAGTGTTTCTTCTTCTTCCATTTCTGTAAGATCGTGTAGAACTGGTGTTAATTTTCTTTAAATGCTTGGTAGAAATCTGCAGTGAAACCATCTTGGCCTGAAGGTTTCTTCTTTCTTTTTTCTTTGATTTTGGGAGTCTTTATACAATAAATTCAGTTTCCTTATAAGGCTGTTCAGTAATCTATTTCAGCTTGTGTGAATTGTGGCAGTTTGTATTTTTTGAGAAATTTGCCATTTCATCTGTCAAATTTATATGTATAAAATTATTTGTGGTATTCCTGTATTATCCTTTGATATCTGCAGTCTGTAGGACTGGTATTGGTAATTCCTTTCTCTCTCCCTCCTTCCCTCCCTCCTTCCCTCTCTCCCTCTCTCTCTCCCTCTCCCTCCCCCCACCCCCATCAGTCTAGTTAGAAGTCAATTTTATTGATCTCTCTAAACCATTTCTTTGGTTCATTGATTTTCTCTATTTTTTGTTTTAAACTTCAATTCCTGCTCTGATTTTTATTATTTCTTCCTTCTGCTTGCTTTGGATTTATTTTGCTTTATTTTATTTTATTTTATTTGTCTTTTTCTAGGTTCTTGCTGTGGGAGTTTAGATTATTGATATTCATTTAAGAGCTTTCCTCTTTTCTAATATATATATTTAGTACTATAAATTTCCCTTTCAGCATGGCTGTACCTACATCTTACAAATTTTGATTTGTTGAACTTTTATTTTCACTCATTTCCATGTATTTTGTAAAAATTTCCCATGACATTTCCTCCTTGATCCATGAATTATTTAGAAATGTGTTGCTTAATTTCCAGGTGTGTGAAGATTTTCCTGTTCTCTCTCTATTAGTAATTTCTAGTTTGATTCCATCGTGGTTAGGGAACACACTGTATGATTTTAGTTCTTTTAAATTTGTTGAGGTTTATTCTGTGGTCCAGGATATGGTCTATCTTGGTGTGTGTTCTGTGGACACTTGAAAAGAATGTATATCCTACTGTCAGTAGTATTCTGTAAATGTCAATTATGTAAATGTTGGTTGGTGTAGTTGAGCTTTTGTGTTATAATTGCTATTCTATCAGTTGTTGAGAGAGGAATGTTGAAGTCAACACCTATACTTGTGGTGACCACTTATACTTTTCCTTTCAGTTTTATCCATTTTTGCTTCACACATTTTGCATCTCTGTTTTGTGCATACACACTTAAGATTACTATGTCTTCTTCATAGATTTACCCTTTAATCATTATATAATGTCCTTCTTTGTCTGGTAATTTTTTTGCTCTGAAGTCCACTTTATCTGATATTAATATAGCTAGTCTTGCTTTCCTTTGATTAATGTTTATATGATAATATCTTTTTCCATCTTTTTACTTTCAACCTGACTATATCATTATGTTTGAAGTGAGTTTCTTGTAAACAGCATGTAGTTAAGTCATATTTTTTAACCAACTCTGACAGTCATTTTTTATTGGTGTATTTAGACATTTTATATTTAATATAATTATTGATATGTTAGAGGTTAAGTCTGAAATTTAATTCTTTTGTTTTCTGTTTGTTCTGTTTTTTTGTTTCTCCATTTCCTTTTTTTCTCCAGACTTCCTTTACTTGAACATTTTTTAGAATTCCATTCAATTTATCTATAGTGTTTCTGAGTGTATCTCTTTGTATAACCATTTTAGTGGTTCTTCTAGGTATCATATTATGTGTATATAACTTATTTTTGACAGGTCTAGTGAAGTATATGTACCTTACTTCCTTTATGTCTCTTTACCCTTTCCTGTTTATATTTGTCTGAAATATTTCCTCTAGATACATTTAGAACCACATCAGTCAGTGTTATAATTTTTGCTTTAACTATCAGACACAATTTAGAAAATTTAAAAGAATAAGAAAAACCTATTGTATTTATACATATTTTTATTTACCATGTTCTTTCTTCCTCTTTGATGTTCCAAGATTCTTTTTTTTTTTTTTTTTTAATGTTTCCTTTCTGTTTAGAGAATTTCCTTTAGCCATTCTTGTAGAGTAGGCCTGCTGGTGACAAATTCTCTTAGTTTTCCTTCATCTGAGGATATCTTTCCAGTTCATTCCTCTTTTTTTTTTTTTTTTTTTTCGTTTGACATTTTTCTTTGGTTTTTGATTTTGTTTTTTCCTTTTTATTTTTTTTTTTTTTTTTTTTTTTTTTTTTGAGCACCTGAAAATTATTGTGTTGCTTCCTTCTGGCCTACATGGCTTCTGAGGAAAAATCCAGTGTCATTCAAATAGTTTTTCCCATATAGGCAAGGTATCATTTTTCTCTGGCTGCTTTCAAGATTTTTTGTCATTTGTTTTCACAACTTTTAATTTTAATTATAATTGGTGCAAATTTCTTTGGGGTAATCCTGTTTAGAGTTCACTCAGCTTCTTGAGTATATAGATTTATGTCTCTTGCCAAATTTGGGGAGCTTTTAGTGCTTTGAGTACTTTTTCAACCCTGCCCTTTTTCTTCTCTCATGCTGGGATGCTTAAATCATTTGTTATAGTCCCATAGGTCCCTGAGCCTCTTTTCAGTCTGTTTTCTCTTTGTTGTTCAGATTGAGTAATTTCTCTTATTCTGTCTTCCATGTTACAGATTCTTTCCTTTGTCCCCTCCATTCTCCTGTTGAGCCCATCTGCTGAGCTTTTTATTTGTTATTGAATTTTTCAGTTCTAAAATTTCTGTTTGTTTCTTCTTTGTATCTTCTATTTCTTTCCTGAGGTTTTCTGTTCTTTTGTTTTAAACAAGTTCATAATCGCTTATTGAAGCATTTTCATCACAGCTGCTTTAATAACTTTGTCAGATAATTCTAATGTCTCTGTCATCTTAGTGTTAACGTATATTGATTGATTTTTCTTTTTTTATTCATTTGGAGATCTTCCTGGTTCTTGGGTGTGGTGAATGATTTTTGACTGGACATTTTTGTATTATGTTCTAAGATTCTGGACCTTATAGAAGTCTTCTTTTTAGTTGGCTTCCTCTGAAACCACTCTGGCAGGATAAGGCAGGGGTGGGGGGACCAACCTTGTTACTTCCAAGTGTAGGTAGAAGTCCAGATTCCTCACTCAGCCTCCTTTGACACCCATGAGGGAGGGCTCCTAATTACTGTTAGGTAGAAGTGGGAGTCCTGTCTCCCCACTCCTACTTAGCCTTCTTGTTCCCCCCATCTTTATTGAGATACAACATTGTAAAAGTTTAAGATGTACAATGTAATGATTTGATACACGTATCAGTGTATATATATTGAGAATGATTACCATAATAAGGTTAGTTAACACCTCCATCACCTCACAAAATTACCCTTTTGTGTGTGTGGTAAGAACATTTGAGATCTACTCTACTCTCTTAGCAACTTCATGGATCATCAGACTGACCTTGCAAACTTTTATAATAGATTCCCAAAACATACCTGTTCCACCCCACCCCCAACATAGATTCTGATTCAGTAGATCTGGTGTGAGGCCCAGGAATCTGTACTTACATTGTTTCCCCTTGGTTCTGATAAACAGTTGGGTTGGAAACCTCTGGTGTAGTGAAAAGAATGCATACAGCCTTTGGAGTCACACAGGCTTGACGTGAATCCCACTGCTTGCTGTGTAACCTTGGGCATCACTTAATCTGTCTGAACCTTGTGTTACTCAGCTTGTAGACAAGGAATTTATTTATGTACATTGCCTAGCATATGGTGGGTTTTTTCAACAAATATTAATTCTCTTCTTTCTAGTCAAGAACTTGTGTTGGCAATTCTTTTATTTAAACTCCTATTTCTGGGATCTAAACCCAGTCTTCCTACCACGTGCTAGTTAATTCAAAGTTAGAAGTTTTAGAGATCATCTTATCCACCAAGTTTATTTTATGTTGAAGAAACTAAAATTCATGGAAACCACAGATCAGGTACTGTCAGAGCCAGGCCTATCACCCAGATTGTCAGATTCCTGTTCTCATACTCATTCTGTCTGGAAACACCCTAAAAATGGGCTGGCGTACAGTCAAAACCTAGAGCTATGATTGCCTCCTGAGAGTGAATCTAGTACGGTCCTGCTGTAATGGATGAGATCAACTACCTGTAGGAATAACTCACCCCAGGAGAAGAAGAGGAGGGTGGGTTTTTCCCAGACTCCAGTTCACACATATCTGATATCAAAGATCCACCAAAGAGAGCCAGACCTTGGTCTATGGTGATTGATTCAACAAGCATTTATTGAATGCCTGCTCTTTGCTGGAAGCAATAAACAAAACTGTCAACTATTACTGCCCTCATAGAGCTTATATTTTAGTGGGAAGAGGGAGACAATAAACAAATAAATAGGTGGATAACTTGGTTTGACAGATGGTACTAAATGCTATGGAGGAAAATTTCAAAGACAGGGGAAGGAGATTGGGAGTGCAGGGCAGGAGAGGAGTGAGGATGGGTTGCAGTTTTAAATTGGGGTGATCCGAGAAGGCCTCCCTCAGAACTCACATTTGAGTAAAGCCCTGAAAGATGAGAGAGCAAGCTGTGAGGGTATATCGTGGAACAGCAAGTTACAAAGGCCCCGAGCAGGTGGTTGTATCAGAACATCACCCCTGTGTGAGGCATGGCTCACTTGCCATGACGGTGTCTCCCTCTCGTCTCTGCCTTTATTAGGGGCTACAACTTTTCTGCTTTCTGGCCTTTGCTTGTGAGGTATTGTTCCTTGAACAGCCTTCCCATGCAGCCCCAAGTGTGTAGTCCCCCCACCCCAACATATATCCTCCTCCCTCCATGAAGCCTTCCCTTTTGGTGTTCATTCTTTTTCTAAGTTCCTTTTGTACTTCTCGGGTTTTTCCTCCCTTTTTCACTTTTTAACTATATGATACAATAAGTACCTTGTGGTCTAGCGTCTTATCTTTTAAGTGTCTGTAAAGTATAGCACCTACAGATTGTCCCGTTTGTCTGCACCACCTGGATGCCATGGCCCAGGGATCTTACACAGCCCATTCCTGTGAAAAGGCAGAAAGAGATGGGAAGGAGGGGAAGAAGCTGCCAGGGGAATGGGTTCACTCAAGCACTCCGATTGCAGCTCTCTCCTCCCACCTCCCCAGTGACTGCTTTCTATGACCGCGGAAGAGGTTCACTGAACTCAGAAAGGGTTAGAGTCAAGAACTGGTTTATATAGTCACTGTCTGTCACAGTTGAACTCTGGGTTGTTTTCTCTGCTCACCCTGAGAATCAGCTTGTTTTGAATGCCTCATCCCAGTATCACTTAATGGGCCAGAATACGCCAGTTGCTGTCAGTTATATAAACATCGAACTTTGCAGTGCCACTTTAATCAGTGTTGCATTTTATCGGAATAGAATCTAGGACTCCTAAGCTTCTAAATCTCTGAGCAGTTCCTTCTGTAATCGACATATTGTCACACAGGTGTGATTTCATGACCATTCCATAAAGGTATATGATTGCCTTTATAGTCATGCCATACTAGCAATTTGTTATACTCTCTTCCTTACAGAAAGCTGGTTTATGTATTTCTGAGCCCATAACCCATTCTTTTGAAGATCTCCAGTTGTGGTAAGTCTTCATCTGTATAGTATCCCATTGGGAGAATATACTACAGTTTATCCATTCTACTATAGATGTGCATTTGGGTAGTTTCTTTGTGGGGACAGTTGTGGATAGTGTATTCCAGAACACATCTATTGGTAAATTTATGTATGCATTTCTGTTAGGTATATACCAAAGAATGTGATTACTAGATCATACAGCATATGTATGTTTACCTTTAGAATAATAGATATTGCCTAAGGATTTTCCAAAGTAGTTGTATCAATTACACTCTTACCAGCATTGAATGAGAGTTTTGGTTGTTTTATATCCTTGCCAACGCCTAGTATTTTCTTTTCCTTTTTCTTTTTTTCCCCTTTTTTTCAGCTTAGCCCTTCTGGTGGGTGTGTAATGGTATTTTGTTGTGGTTTTATATTGCATTTTCCGGAGCAGTGATGTTAATGTCTTTTCATATGTTTATTGGCCATTTGGATATCCTCTACTGTGGTATGCTTGTTCAACTTCTTTTCCATGTTTCTGTTGGATTGTCTTTTTCTTAATGATTTATAGAAAATCTTTTATATTAACTTCAATGTAGTCCAATTTATCATTTTTTTTATGGTTAGCTCTTTTCTGTGTCCTGTTTAAGAAATCTTTGGCTACTCCAAGATTACAAAGACGTTCTTTGTTTTCTTCAGAAAGCTTTGTTATTTGACATTTCATGTTTAAATCTAGTATGAGATGTAATCAAGACCTATATATTTTTTCATATGGATAGCCAGGTGGCACAGTACCTTTAATTGAAAAGACCACTCTTTCCCAGTTGATTTCAGTGTCAACTTTGTCAGTTTTGTGAGTCTATATATGGAGTCTCTGTTGTATATGTGGGGGCTATTTCTGGACTCTATTCAGTTCCACTAATCTGTTTGTCTTTCTTTTTGCCCTTTAATTATTGTATCTTTACAGTAAATCTTGAAATCAGATAGTGTAAAACTTACACCACCAAAATTTACCAATTTAATTCCTCTTCTTCAAGATTGTCTTTGCTATTCTAGGTTGTTTGCATTCCCATATCAATTTTAGAGTCGTCTTATAACTTTCTATAAAAATGCTGCTGGGGTTTTGATTGGGATTATGTTGATTCTATACCAGCGGTTCTTATCCAGGGCGATTTTTGCCCTACACAGGACATTTGGCAGTATCTGGAGACGTTTTTGGTTGGTACTCTTTGGGGAGTGCTACTGGCATGTTGGGGACAGAGGCCAAAGATGCTGCTAAATATCTGACAATGCACAGAACAGCTCTCCACCAACAAATTATCCAGCCCAAAATGTCAGTAGTGCCACTGTTGAGAAACTCTGAATTCATGTAATCAGTGTTTCAATTGGGCTTCTGTCCACCATCTTATTAAGTATTTGTTTTCTGTTTGACCCACCAGTTTTGCTTCCCTTTTTCTCATTTTTCACGTTTTGGATCAATCAGAAGTACTAATTATCCCATTTTTACCACTGTCTGAACTTTTATAGCTCTTTTGGAGTTTACCCTATAGATTTCAACATGCATTCTTGACAGTCTAATACAGATTTTTTTATCACTTCCTGATACTGCTAGACTCTTAATACACTTAACTCCTTTTATACTATCCATAAACCTTTTGTGCATTATTGTCTTGCATTTTACCTTCAGTTGTGAAAGAGTTTTATAGGGTGTAAAATTCAAGGTTGGCAGTTACTTTCTTTTCACACTTTAAAGACGTCATTCTGTTGTTTTCTGGATTTCATCATTTCTTTAGAGAAGTTGCCTGTCACTTCTGTTGCTGCATTACTTTTAAGATTTTTCTCCATACTTTTGGTTTTTCAGCAGTTTGACTATGATGTGTCTGTGTGTGTTTCTCTTTGTATTGTCAACTTGGGCTTTGCTGAGCTACTTGAATCTGTGGGTTGATCTCTTTCATTTGTTTGGACATTTCTCAGCCATTTGTCCCCCAGCAGCGGCCTTCTCTCAGAAGTCATGTATTTTGAGATCCCTGAAGACTACGGTTTTACATATAGGACTCCAGTCCTATATGACCACGTTAAAAGCATCGTGGTTTCTTTTTCCTCAGTGACAGCCCTCAGCCTGGGCCTCTTCGTAATCCTGAGCCATGTCCAGGATCAGCAAATGGAAAACAAACAAACAAACAAAAAAACCCAACTATTGATTGTTGACTCACTGTGAACTTTCATCCTTCACTAGAGTATTAGTTCATCTGGTCTTTGTTGCTTCTGCAACTATTTGATGCTTTAAGAAACGCTTTTTATAATTTATCTGGTTTTTCTAGTTGTCACCAGGAGTACTGGCCTGCCATACCCTACTATATCCTACTTGAAAGGAGAATCTGTACAGATGTTTCTGAGTGCTTATCATATACCAGATGCCCTTGTAGGTTCTAGGTGTAGGATTGCCCAGTCTAAAGTAGGTAAAACAGGCATATACAAAATAATTCAGCATGCTAAATACTGTAATAGCAGTGTGTACAGTGGTAGGAGAAAGGAGGAGAATATGAAATAGCACGACCTGTTTAGGAAATTGCAAGTTTTATAATTTCACATGGTTGCAGTTTCAAGTTCAAGGGGTGAAGCAGTGCAAAATGAGGTTGATGAGACAGGCAGGGGCCTGATGGTGCAGGGCCCTGTATGCCATGGTAGAAAGGTGTCTGTACTTTAGGCAGGCTACAAAGAGCAGGTGAAGGATTTTAAACATGGAAAAGAGTGATCCAGATTTTTGTTTTAAAAAAATTACTTACATGTCAGTGTGAAATATGGATTCAAGAAGGGCAAGCACACAAGGCAAGGGTGGCCAGAGAAGAAACCATTACGGTCAGTCCAATATCAAATAGATGATTATCATCCTCAACAGCTTTGAAAGATGTTGAAGGGGTAGAACTGATGAAATTTAAGGGAACAGTGGAATTAAGAAGGAGGTAAAAGAAAGCAGGGAGGCTAAGGCGTCTAGCCCAGGTGAGGACCATAAATCACAAAGGGAATACAGAAGAAAGCAGATAAGTTCAGTTTGGGACAGATTGTGTTCTCACCTCACTTGCTGTATTACAGTTTTTGTCATATAATCTGAGAACATAGTTCAGGGGACCCCAGGTTATTGTCTTGAAACTCCTGAGATAAATAAGAGAGATGCAGAGCCCCCGGCCATTGCCTTCACCCCAGCTTTAACCAGACCTTCTGATTTTATCTGTTTTACGTGCTGGGCTTCCACTTAAACGTTTTATTTGAAGAAAGTTTTCCATGCTAAAAGAAAAAAAAAGTTACTCAGCAACGTTTCCTTCTTCATTCATCTTCCCATTTTAGGTCTGTTTCAAGTCGCTTCTTGTTTGAATGGAGTCCTCTGGTAGGGCATGTGGTGCTACCCTCTCTGAATCCTCGCATACGGCTCTTTCACCCTGACAGCTGAATATCTTTGCTGTAAGTAGGGTTTGGGGGCCACGATCCTTTATTTGCAGTCAGTAGATGCTCTTCCACTGTCTTCTATTGCAAATGAGAAGTCCAAAGCCGGTCTTTTTCCTTTGTAAGTTATTTGTTGTTTCTTCCTGAAGACATATGTGATTTTCTTTTCCGTTTATCTTTTAGTGTACAGGAATTTTACCACAATTTGACTAGGTATGTATCCTTCAGTCTTTTCAATCTCCAGATAAATACTTTTGCAGCTCAGAGAAATGTTTCAGTTATTTATTTGTTTTAGCTCCTCCATCTGTTCCTTTTTTTCCTTCCAGAATTCCCAGCTATTTATATGTGGGTTCTCCCAGATCTGTGCTCCAAGTCTCACATTTTCCATCTCTTTGTATTTTTGCTCAGAGTTTTAAGATAGCTCTACTTGATCTTCCCAGCCACTAATTGGATCTCAGCAATTAACCGCCTTTTTTTTTTTTTAATCAATTGAGCTTTTTTAGTGTGGAAAGACATGTTTTTAAATTCTAAGAAATATCTTTTGTCTTGTAATTGAATTTCCTTATTGGTCTTAATTATTTTTCATATTCTTGTCTGTCTCCCTTAGCATTTCTGTTAAACTAAGGTTCACCACCTCAAGGGTGCTATATTTGCATTTCCTGCTCCTGACTGTTGGGTCCCATTAAGTGGTTACTTCCTTTGCTTCTGTTGTTCTAAATACTAGTACCTTGGGCAAGGGGTGGCACAGTAGCCTCGGGGTCATCAGTGTTTGAGCTGGTGCTGATGGGGTGTCAGTAGTCCCTGGCCCAGCTTTCTGGCCTCCACACCTGGCATTTTGCTAGTCTGGAATAGGGAAGATTTGAGCTTCTTCCCTTCCCTGGCTTCTTGAGGGTCACAGACCAGGAGATATCCCCCCAAGGAAGCTCACAGACCAGCATTGCCTTTCCTCTCATGGAGTTCTGTGGACCAGACTCTGTCCAGGGTATGAGAGCCTGATTGTTGCCCTGGAGCCCTCTCCTGACCCATGGAGGAGATCCAGCACCAGCTCTCTGGGCTGAGCAGGTCTTGTGCACACCCACCAGGCACCACTTGCCTGCCAGCACTACTGGGGACAGCGAGAAGCAGCGGACACTTTCTTGTCATCATCTGTTCAGAAGCCCCCAGCAAGTAGAGCTGAGACAGAGAGAGAGAGGAGACACCACCAGCCCAGGTGATCTCTAAGCCTCCGTCCGGCACCAGCGTTTTACAGTTGTGCATGTTTAATGGTCTCCAGCTTCAACTCGGTCCTCAGTACCCTTGGGCCACACTTTTGTGTCTTCCCAGCATGCTCTGCTTCCCCAAAGGGAATATTTGAGAATTTTATTTCTCTCCTCAAGCCCTCTGTTTACCCGCCTTCTTATTCGCTATCAGTCCATGACTTTGCATTTCCCCTCACAGAGAAAAGAGCCTCTTCTCTGTGAGGGGAAATGCAAAGTCATGGGCTGATAGCCCATGTGTAAAGTCGCACAGCTCCTTCACTTACCTATAAACCTGTCTCCTTTCACTGCCTGCCTGCCATCCACGTCTCCATCCTGCTCAAATCTCTCTTCTCCCGTGGTCTCTGTGATAGTGTGCGCTCCTGGTTTTCCCGTTTCTCTGGCCACTCCCTTTCATTTTGTTTTGCTTTCAGTCTCACCCAGCTCTGAGTCTTCTCCTGTATTACTGGCTGCCAGGGGGTCTTTTCAATGCATAAAGTTGTTCCTATCACCCTCTGCTTGAAATCTCTCCATGACAAGAACAGGCAAAATTAGTCCAGGCTGATAAAAGTCAGAGTAATGGTTACCTCTGGGCAGGGGAAATAGGAATTGATTGCAAAGGGGCATGAGGGAGCCCTCCAGGGTGCTGGAAATATTATATATCTTATTTTGGGTAGTGGTTCTATGAGTCTCTGCGTGCATTAAAATTCACTGAGCTGTTATGTTAAGACTAGTGCCTTTCGCTCTATGTATATTATACCTCAAGTTAAAAAAGACAGAACCTTCAGTGGCTCTCCATCACTACCACAGGTTAAAATCCATACTCCTTAGAATAGCCCACAGGTTCCAGTTCACTCCTCCCTTGAGTCTTGGCTCAAGCATCTTCCTCCTGTGAAACGCACGCTGGCTTTCTGAGTGTTATGACGCATACGTTTTCTATACTCATGTAGGACCACAAGCACAGGCCTAGCCTAATTCTTAAGAGACTGTGTTGTAACTGTACATCTCCTTCCCTCCCTGGACTGGGAGCTCCCTAAGACTAGGAACCGGCTCTTTTCCGTTCCATTGCTCCCCTAGCTCCGTGTGGAGTGACTGGTACATAAGCCCCCACTGAATGTCTGTTGAATGAATGAGTGCAAGTTCACTTTGTATTTTCTTTGAGCTTGGCCTTCTTTACTGAAAAGTCTCCTCCCTCCAGCCTGCAGGGTGTTTGCTCAGTGAGAGGAAGCCTGTTGCACAATGGCGGTTTTTGATACTCCAGAGGAGGCCTTTGGCGTCTTGCGTCCCATCTGTGTTCAGCTCACAAAGACCCAGACAGTGGAGAATGTGGAGCGTCTGCAGGCACAGTTACAAGTCGTGAGTGACTCTGCCCTTCAGGAACTTCAGCAGTACATCCTCTTCCCTTTGCGATTTACCCTGAAGACCCCGGGCCCCAAAAGAGAGCACTTGATCCAGAGTGTGGTGGAATGCATCACCGTTGTCCTCTCTTCAACATGTGTGAAGGAACAAGAACTTCTCCAGGAACTCTTTTCAGAACTCTCTGCTTGCCTGTATTCACCCAACTCTCAGAAACCTGCAGCTGTGTCAGAGGAGTTGAAATTGGCTGTGATCCAGGGCCTCAGTGCATTAATGCACTCGGCTTATGGGGACATCATTCTGACTATTTATGAGCCCTCCATTCTGCCTCGTTTAGGATTTGCTGTGTCTTTATTGTTAGGCCTAGCAGAACAGGAGAAATCAAAACAAATTAAAATGGCTGCCTTAAAATGTATACAGGTTCTGCTCTTTCAATGTGAGTGTCAAGACCATCCAAGGTCCTTGGATGAACTTGAGCAAAAGCAGCTGGGGGATTTGTTTGCTTCTTTTTTACCTGGCCTCTCAACTACACTGACCAGGGTCATCACAGGAGACTTTAAACAAGGGCACAGCATTGTCGTGTCTTCCCTAAAGGTCTTTTACAAGACAGTGAGCTTCATTATGGCTGATGAACAGCTCAGAAGAGTCTCAGAGGTCCGAGAAAAGCCTGCCGTGGAGCACAGAGTAGCGGAGCTGTTGGTTCACAGGGAAGCCAATTGGGTAAAAAATACCGGCGACAGGTTGACTGTCCTTATTAAAAAGATAATCGAGTGCGTTTCAGTTCACCCACACTGGAAGGTGAGGCTGGAAGTGATAGACTTTGTCGAGGCCCTTCTTTTGAAGTGCAGTCAGTCACTGGTTGAATCGGCTGGTCCACTTCTGAAGGCTCTGGTGAGTCTGGTAAATGATGAGAGTCCTGACGTCCAAGCCCAGTGCAATAAAATTCTGAGACGTTTTGCAGATGAGAAAGTCGTGGTGGGCAGCAGAGCCTTTGCTGACATCTTGTCAGAAAACCTGCACTCCCTTGCCACGTCCCTTCCCCGCCTGATGAACTCCCAAGACGATCAGGGCAGATTGTCTACTCTCTCCTTGTTACTCGGGTACCTGAAACTCTTGGGCCCCAAAGTGAACTTTGTCCTCAACTCTGTGGCCCATCTCCAGCGCCTTTCCAAAGCGCTTATCCAAGTTCTGGAATTAGACGTGGCCGACGTCAAAATCGTTGAAGAGCGGCATTGGAACTCGGAGCATCTGAGCACTTCTCCAGAGACTTCAGCCTCCCGGCCGTGGGCTCAAATGCAGAGGAGATATTTTCGCTTCTTCACTGATGAGAGGGTTTTCCTGCTCTTGAGGCAGGTTTGTCAGCTTCTTGGTTTCTATGGGAACCTCTACTTGCTCGTGGATCCCTTTATGGAACTGTACCACGAGTCTGTGGTTTACCGGAAGCAGGCCGCCATGATCCTCAATGAACTGGTTGTAGGGGCTGCTGGGTTAGGGGTAGAGAATGTTCATGAAAAACACATTAAGACAAAACCAGAGGAACTGAGGGAGATCGTGACATCAATACTTGAAGAATACACAAGCCAAGAAAACTGGTATTTGGTCACTTGCCTGGAAGCTGAAGAGGTGGGAGGGGAGCTGACAATGATGCAGTCAGGCATTCAGGCCCTCACATCTGGTGCACACACCTGCCAGGCTACCTCTTCTCCCACCTTCTCAAAGCCACGTCCCACGATCTGCTCCATGAACAGCAACATCTGGCAAATATGCATCCAGTTGGAAGGGATTGGTCACTTTGCACACGCACTAGGGAAAGACTTCCGTTTGCTCTTGATGTCAGCCCTCTATCCGGTCCTGGAGAAAGCTGGAGACCAAAGCCTGCTTATCAGTCAGGCGGCCGTCAGTACCATGACGGCCATTTGCCAGGCTTGTGGCTACGACTCCCTGCAGCAGCTGATCAATGAGAATTCAGACTACTTGGTAAATGGGATCTCTTTAAATCTGCGCCATCTCTCTCTCCACCCGCATACCCCGAAGGTCTTGGAAGTCATGCTACAGAACTCAGATGCTAGCCTGCTCCCTTTGGTGGCAGATGTGGTTCAAGATGTCTTGGCTACCCTGGACCAATTTTATGATAAGAGAACAACTTCCTTTGTCAGTGTACTGCATGCCCTGCTGGCAGCATTAGGTACATTGAGAGCCCTTTTTTAATGCTGATTGGAGGGAAGGACTAGTATTCTTGTTCATCTAACTGTTTTTTTCTTTGTTTGGGGTTATGCTATGGAGGACGTTATTTGAATAGGTGTCTGTCTGGTCCCACATGTTACGGTAGAGTTCCATTGCTTATGTTTTCATACTTTTAATAATCTCTACCATCTATTGAACCTCTGCTCTGTCCCAGGGACATAAACCCTGCGGACTAAATGTAAACATTATTTTGCAGGTAAGGAAAACTAAGGCTCAGTGAGCTCCTACTTAGCCAAGGTCACACAATAAGGAGGAAAGTCAGGATTTATGACAATTTTGTTCTTTTCAATATACCGGACTGCTTCTGACAATATTTAGAGTTAGCAGTATCTATGCTAATGGAGAACAGGGCTAACTTAAATTATTCAGTCCACAGATAATCTAGAACAGTACTGTCCAATAGACCTTTCTGTGATGATGGAACTGTTCTATATCTGTTCTGTCCAATATAATAACTACACGTGGCTAGTGCAGCTGAGGAACTGAATTTTTTATTTTTATTTAAATAGCCACATGTAGCTAGCTAGTGACTACCATGTTGGACAGAGCAGGTCTAGAAACTTTCTTTTAACCTTTTAATTGTATGAGGTGGTTTGAATTTCTCTACTTCCCTTTCACCCTGTTGGGTGTCTGTTGGAGGTGTTACCCACCATTAAAATGGCAAAGTTTTGGACTATAAGAAAGAGAATCCCTTCACTGGATAGTCAATCTTCGAATGAAAAAAAAATATATATATATATATATATATATATATATATATATATATATATATGAGCTATATACATGAGTTCCTTTTATCCAAAGAGCATACCTCCAGTATTTATTTCAGTACTTCTAATAGCCGCCAAAGTAGGTGGAAAGGTCACTGACCTCATTTTGTCAGCTGAAAAAGCTAAGACCATGTAAGAACGTTTCTCAAGGAAGGTGACTGAACAGGGACAGTTCTCTGCCCTGTAGCTGATACCACTTCCAGTGTTCGTTCATTCATTCATGAACGTTCACATGCAGTGTACATATTCTTTTATTCATTCAGTAAAGATTACCTGCAGTATGTTAGACACTGTGCTAAGTAATCAGGATTCAGCAGTGAAGAAGAGCTTTCCTGCTACTGCAAGAGAGTAACAGGACAGTAGCAGAGTGGTCAGGGGACTTGATCATGGCACTTCCTTTCTGAGGAAACGGCATTAGAGCTGAGACCTGAAGGCTGAGAAGGGCCCATCAGTACATATGGAGCTGTCACATCATTTTTATGTTTTTTAAGAACATTCAGGCAAAGGGAACAGCAGGTGCAAAGGCCTGGAGGGAAGAAAGGGCTTGGGGTCTTTGGAGAATGGAGAAGAGATCATTGTGGAGACAGTGACACAAGATGAAATTGGAAGGCTGGGTGAGGATGAATCCCACGGGGCCTTGTAGACCAAGGGAAGGAGTGGGGGTTGTATTTTGCAACCACTCGGAAGCCTGTGTGCTGGACTAGTCACTGGGATGGCAGTGGTGACCAAGAAGAACATGGAAACACTCCTAAGACTGGCTTACTGCTTATAGATTTTAGACTATGAGTGGCTTCCATGGCCCAAATATACCCCAGGCTTCCATCCTTAGTGTTTTAAGGAACTCTACTACATGTCAGTTTGAGTTTTAAAAAATATATTAACAAAAGGCCAATTAAATATATCCTCTCAGGATATATCTCCATTTGGGCCATGAAAATTGAATTGCCTTGGATTGCCAGTGTCTTTGGTCATCTCTAAAGAGGACTCCTGTGTAGCACCTTTTCTCTAAATTGCAGAGAGGAGAATGAGGATGGTTAAGCTTGACTTGAGAGCATCCTAGGAAAACCAGCAAAAGTGGGGATAGGTTTTCTGAAAGTTTTGAAATAACCCAGACCACACTTGCCTTTTGAATGGTAAGCAGTCCTGGGGAGTGGATCGGTCTCACACAAATCAAAGTAGCACTGCCTGCTGGCGTTTCCTCTTGTCATTCGAATTGTCTAACTGATGATCACTCTTTTAAGATGGGAGTGGAAGTGTGGTCTCAGAGAACTTCCAAAAGGTTTTAAAAGAACCCAGTATGTCTTTTAGGAAATTGAGTTACCACATACACAGTGTTTCACAGGCATTGACTAAAAAAGCATTAGGTTCCACAGTGAAGGCAAGAACCATCAGTTAAATTACTGCTTAGCACCACCTACTGATCCAGTGATTATTCATAACAACAAAAAAATTGGGAAGCTTTGAAAATGAGAAAGTATCCATACCACATACCTCAGCACTCGGAGATTGTGCCACATCCACACGTGCAAGGCCGTGTTTTTCTGGACACATAATGTTCTATTGTGTGGCTGCACCATAATTTAAGCGGCCCTTTCTTGGTGGACATTTTGGTTGTTTCCAGTCTTTTGCCCCCTTCACCCCCAAAATGCTGTAGTGTACTCTCTGTAGGTCATTTTGGACATGTCTGAGTATACCAGTAGAGTGTATTCCTAAGACAGTTGCTGGCTTAGAGGGTATTACATTTAAATCTGTGATAGATAGAGTTTCAAATTGCTCTGTGAAGAGGTTGCACCAATTTAAACTCCAATCAGCAATGTAAGAGAGCGCCAGTTTTGCCACCCCGTCACCCACACTGTATATTACCTAGCTTTTTGATCTTTGCTAATCCAGTAGGAGAAAAAGTACACCTTATTATAGTTTAATTTGCATTAAGAGTGAGGTCGAGCTGCTTTGCCTTAAATCTAGAAAATAATCTTTGCAGCATGTCTACTTTTAGCAGTGTAAATGCTGGGCCCTGGCATTGGGAATGCAGTCCCTCCGAGTACATTAAGGACAGATTTATGTCTGGGCACTGAAGAAATGGCATAATCGATCCCCTCACGTAGGAATCTCCAGGTACTGGACCAAACGCTCTCATATCCAGCATTTGCTCTCTGCTGCTCCCAGTGGCCTGGCCCTGGCATAGCCCATCTGCTGTTGCTGTGGCTCTGTGCAGATGCTCCTTGATAGAAAAGAGATTAGCAGGTGCTAAAGGTCATCAGAGACTTCTCCCCTGCTGTCTGCAAAAGGAGGGCAAAAATTCAGGCCATAGGGTTTTCTTGTTGATTCATTCTTTAAGTATTAAGAGCCTTTTTTGAAATGAAGCCCTGGGGGACCCCAGTATACAAAAAGAGTTCAAATTAGAGCAGGGCTGGTAAAAGAAGGCATAGAAACTCTGTTCCCACCCTTTAACCTGCTGTCTCTGGGTGCCCTCCCTGTTGTGACCCTGAGACATTTCTGCAGAACCCTAGGGCTCCTCAAGACACAGTTTGAAAACCACTGGTTCTGTAATGTTTAAGGCTTATTCTGCGGTGACACATCAGAAGTATTGGAGCATCACTAAAAAAGGAAAAGCTTTGGAGAGAAAATGCCAGCCTTCTGAAGCATTTTATATCAGATATCTATGTGAGACTGTGTCCGTTCTCAAGGCTCTGCAGAGCCTCTCTTCCGCTAATGAGCAGTGTATCCTGCACTCAGAATTTTGTCACTGGTAGCTTTCCTCCAGTCTAGCATATTTATTCATTCAGCATATATTTTGAGCACCCACTCCATGCTGGGCATATTGGCTTTCCAGTGGTGATCAATGGAACACAGTGTCTAATGGGAGATTCAGACACTAAACAATACATACAAAGTAAATACAGTAATTACAAATTGTGATGAGTTGAAAGAAAAGAACATGGTGCTGTATAAGACAGCATATAAAAGACCTAAGTTAGATTGGCGGGGCTGGGAGGGGGGCGGGGGTCAAGGAATGGCTTTACTAGGTAACGTATATTTGTATTGAAACATGAAAAGTGAGTTGGAATTAACCAGATGCTACATAGGAGGTTAAAGTATTCCAGATAGTAAGAACAGCATGTGCAAAGGTTCTAAGGCAGGAGGATACCTGGCGCATTGGGCAGCCGGGAGTGGTTAGAAGAGGAGGCTGGAGAGACAGGTAGGGACTGGATCCTGTGGGCAACGTGCAGGCCATGGCAGAGAGCTTATTCTACTTAGAAAGTACTAATGCCTGTTGTCAATGACCAAGGTGATCATTATAACACTTTATTTATAGCCCAGTGGTTTCCAGACGCAGGTCATCTTGGGCAACTCCAAGAGCAAAGTGTAGGGGAAGAGGGAAGTCATTTGAGCCAAAGACCAGCAAGTCTTGAGAAAGGACTTGAGAATACCACAACAGCCGAAGACATTGAACAGTTTGTGCTGAACTACCTCAAAGAAAAGGATGTAGCAGATGGAAATGTCTCGGATTTTGATAATGAAGAAGGTAACTATTATTTATTTTGGCCTCAGCTGTTTTTTACTTTTGGAAGCAGACTATTGTAAAAACAATGAAACATCATGATAGAAAGTTTGGAAATAAGAAAGGTCACAAATAACCCCCGCCATGCTAACGTAAGCATTCTCACTCTGTGTGTAGTCGTTTTCCATCCTTTTCTTTTGCAAACCTGTTTTTGTTTGGTTGCAGCCACAGTTTAAATGCATTATACCCTTTTTGCATTTAGTTATATAATAAGGAACTCTTCATGTTGCTATGGAGTTTTCATAATTAATGTTTTAATAGTTGCCACTAAGTATACATTCCCCTGTGGGAAGTTTAGGTTGCTTCTAGCTTTTCACTCTAATAAACAGTGCTGCAGTGCATGATTCTATGCACGTGACCTTTTCCTTCTTTTTGCATATTTCTGTATAAATCTCAGAAGTGGGATTTCTAGGTCAGGGATATGAACATCATGTTATGCTTGCCAAATTGTCTTTCAGAAAGGTTGTGGCAATTTACACCTTCTCTTCTGCAGTTCACGATTAATACTGGTTTCACCACAAGCTTGCCAACATTGACTATTACCAATTTTACTTCTTGCTAAATTAAAATGGTTCTCGTTATTTTATTTTGCATTTCTTTGATTGCTAGAAAGGTTGAACATCTTTCTATATGCATCTTTCCTAACAATTTTTTCTTATGTCCATTTTCTTTTCACATGCTTTGTCCATTTATTTTATTTATTGGTAGGAGTAGATTCCAGTGTTTTTCTTACCAATTTATATGATAAAGGAGAAGGGAGTTCAGGCTAGTTGAAGCTCTGGCCTATTGTTTTATTCACAAGCTCAATCTGGAGCTTCAGGTCACGGAAGGATTAATAAATTATTAGAATCTCCTCTGCAAATATAAAATGCCAAGTCATAATGAGCTTGGTGGTCTCAGAACTATCCTAAATCAAACTGAGTCCCAAATTAGTTTGTTAGGTTGGAATAGAGCAGATTTCTTTTTTTTTTTTTGGCACTCTACTCTGAGACTCTGATGAACTGAAGCCAATACCTCCAGGATAACAGGAAATACCTCCAGGATAACAGGAAATAGTAGTTCAATGCAACTAACTGCAACAAATTCCTTCTAAATAGCAGGGAAGCATCACAGGGCCCAAATAATGACTTATGCAGAGTTGAGTTGTTATTCTCCCCAAGAACAGAATTTTCTAATCAGAAATCTATCAGCCTTTTTCTTCTCAGTTTTGTCTCTTGAGCCAACCCAATTCTTCTCATAAACTGCACCCCTTGCTCAAGCCTAGAAACCGTGAAGAAGAGGCATCTTGATCCCTCATAATCCAGATTTGCCATTCTTGTTTGAAATTCTAGCATTGTCACTGAATCAATTCTTTCATGATTAGGATCTTCTGGTTCTAGTTGATGTTGGCTAGGAGCAGACTGAATGAATCAAATCTTTCTTCCGGTAGCAAAATCCACATCCCTCAGATAACATTTTGCAGTAGGTGAATTTCAAACAACAAATCCTCCTCTAGAAAGAAAAGCACAGCCTTATCATTCTTATAATTATCGTTCATCAAGTACACACCACACACTTGGCATTATATGGAATGTTTGGATTGATGTTGGTTTGACATGGGTTTTTTGTTTTAACCACAGTAAGAACACCTTATATATCTGACGTCCCTTCCTCCAAGAAATCCAAGCATTCTACAAACGCATTTTCATTTATCTTTTCAGCATCTGTTAGAGACAGGTGTGGACTCTACTGTAAGGTTCTGTTTTTCCAGCAGAGGAAACTGAAATGGCAGAAAGTTAGGGGAGCAATGCTTAGCTCAGTGTAAATGAGCACAGCTGGTATTGAGGGTGTGGGGAGACTGGAGGCTATAAGCAGATAGAGGATAACCTTCAGGGGAGGAATTTTGGCCAGGGTTTCATGCAACTCTCAAGTCTTTTTGTTTTAATTTACAAACTTACACCTATCTCATGCAATGCAACACTCCAGGCAATGAGAAAAATGATAATAGCTGGTGACATGCATCTCATTTAACTCTCTCAGCAAGCAGATGAGGTATACATGCTTTATCCCTTTTTTTCAAATGAGGTGACATGGGATGAGAGGAGTTGCTAATAGGATGTGGAGGCAAGACTTTAGTCCTCTGACCAAACCCCATCCCTGTATATTGCACCAGGCTGCCCTGGTGTTGTCCCTCATACCAAGATGTGTAAGGCTTCATCTTGGCCCTCAGAAGATCTTACAGGCTGGTAGAGAAGACAGACATGTACCCCCTTTAGTCAAAAGATGAACCAAAAGGAACCAAAAGATGAACCAAAAGGAAAGGAAAGAGAGTAAAGGGCCAGAGGCCAGCCAGGGAACTGCCAGCCTCGGGGCTCCAAATTAGAATCTTGCCCTCTTATGTTTTTATTTTAAATATTTATTAATGGCAACTTAGAAAAGACTGCGGATATAGGGAAAAAATAAAAATCATCCATTAACTCATGACCCCGTCTCTGTTAATATTTTGAACTTCCTCCTATCTTTGTATAAAACTTTATGTAATAGTGCTCACATTGTGTATGCAATTTCGTATCCTGCTTTTCTCTTTTTAACACAATGTTATTTCATAAGCATTTTCCCTTGTCATTAAAGCCCTTGGTAAATGCAAAATTTCAGGCCCTCATAATGTGCCATTCATTGTATGGATATACCATGGTTTATATAACCGTACCCCCTTGAGTGGACATGGAAGGTTTTCCCCCAGTTTTTAGCTGTTACAGGTAATGCTTTGGTGAATATCTTGACTCGTAGCTTGACCCAAATTTTACATGGTTTCCTTGCGATCAGTTCCTAGACATTTTCCCTTGTAAGTCTTACTCCTGATCTGAAGTTGGGAGATCAAGTTGGGGTGGGGCATCTCTCGTAAAACACTGCCCCCAGTTATGCTCTTTTTCCAGAGGAGCAGTCAGACCCTCCCGAAGTGGATGAGAATGACACTGATCCCAGTGTGCAGCCACCACTGCCAGTGCAGATCCAAATAGCCACGGATGTGATGGAGCGCTGCATCCACTTGATGTCAGACAAAAATCTGAAAATCCGCTTGAAGGTCAGTGTGCGGCCCTTTCCCTGCATTCACAGAGCTGCGGGACTGAGGTTTGGTCTATTGGCAATGACTACATGGTTGAGCAAGGAGCCCCCCCTTATCTCCCAGTGCATGTGCAGTGGCCAAGAGGAGGCATCAGGAGGAATTTATCTGTGGGATGCCAGTCTTACGTCTTTCTGTATCAGCCCAGAGGCCAAAAGGGACCTGAGTCCCCTTGGTAGAATTAAAAACCACAAAGTTTTGGAGCATTATTGCATCTCCAAGGGGGAAAAAGTCATATGATTTGGAAAGGATATCACTTTCTGAGCTGACTTAATGTGGGACACAGGTTTAAATATTTTGAAGTGGTCATTCGTCCAAGCCTGACGCTAGCCCTTGTCTCTGTTTCTGTTTCCATTTTCATCCTAGGCCTGGCACCAACACTTTTCTTAATCTTACATCCTTGTTTGCTAGCAGTTTCCCAAGCAGCCTCCCCATCAGCAAAGACTTAAACTATACAGTAGTGACTCCGATAACAGGACAGTGGGGCGGGGTGGGCATGGGGGACACAGCTTTCAGAATCACCTGGGGGCAGATCTTACACCCAAAGGAAAGCACAGCCTGACCCATTCCTCCCTAGCCCCAAACGGGAGTGAGAAACAGCTGCCTCCATGCATTACTGGTAGTGGTGAGAGCACTTTGCCCTGGTCACGGGCGGGGGCTGGGACACCCTGAGCCACAGATTACCTCACTCAGCATCTGGGTTTTGCGGAATTTGTTTAGTCTTCCCAGAGATACTTCTTAGCATTGTCGGGTTTTCCACTCAGGAGGCACTCTTCAGGAGCCTTTTGTTGGTGGTGTCTGGTTGACACATCAGTGAAGTGTCTTCCCTCTTCTGGAGGCTTTGTAGCAGCGTATATACACTGTAGCTATTGAGAGCATCAGCACTGGAGTCAGATCTGCATACCCGGGTTCCAGCCCTGGCTCGGCCCTTCACTAGCCGTGCCACCTGGAGTAAGTCAGTTCACCTTTTTGAGCATCAACTTCTTTATCTGTAAAATGAAAATGATGGTACCTACCTCACTGGGTCATTGACTATAAATATAAAACAGTTAGCATCAGACATGGCATATACACTCATTCACTTACTCGCTTACTCACTAAATGCTTATTGAGGACTGCTATAGGTCAGGCAGAGGGTATATAGAAGGAAACGAAGCAGACGTGATCCCTGTCTTCATGGAACTTCCCGTCTCTCGAGGGGAAAGGGGTAATACACAAATACATGTACGTGGAGGAAATGCTATGAAGGTAATAAGAAGGTTCTATGATAGAAAATTCACCCGTGTAGTAAACACATTTTGGGAACCTACTCTACCAAACCCTGTTGAATAAGAGGGAGCTACGTTCTGATTTAGACCAGTTGTTGGGTGATAATGTTTAAGTTGAGACTTAAAGGCTGAGAAGGAGCCAGCCCTGCAGGGGCAAAGGGAGGGGGAAGAACATCCCAGGCAGAAGGGGAATGATTCACTGAAGTATGATGTAACTTACCCGGTTAGTGACAGAACTCAAATCCAGAGCCAGTCAGTGACACCAAAGCCGTTTCCAGTGTGCTGCTCCGCTCTCCTGAGCTTTCTCTTAGTTCCCTGCCTGACTATTCAGCCCGCAAGGGCAGGGCCTGCTTTGTCCTTTGTTTCTGTTCCAGTCTCCGTGTGACCAGCACACAGGAGTCATCCAGCAAGGGTTTACTGCAGACCTTACTCTGTCTTCCTGACTCAGACATGTACCTTCCCCTGCTCTGGGAAGGCTGGCCCATATGTGCAGGAGGGAAGCCTGCACTTGGTTATCGTGGCGACCACTGCCTGTGACACTGAGCAGGTCGTCTGTCTTCAGTGAGCTTTGAGACATGAGAGATCAGGAAACATATTCTCAGGGAAGATAAAAACCCCAATTTACATCTAGTCTGCCCCAGACCTTTCTTCTGAGATTGACCTGTGTCCCAGCTGCCTACCTGACCTCTCCATTTAGAGGGAACAGAACTTGATCTCACCCACCCTCCCGGTTTCCTCCTTCTCCTTTGTTCCTATCTCATTAAGCTGCACCTGCATCTATTCAGTTGCTAAGCCTGAACCCAAGCAGCTCTTTTTGATACCTCTCTTCATCTCCCCAAGAGTGAGTCCTTCAGCAATTTAAGCCATATCATCTCCAAAACAGATCTCAAACCCTTCACTTCTCTGCCTCGGCCACGACCATGTAGCCGCGTAACTCCCCGCCTCCCATGTGGACGTGCGCCGTGGCTCCCTCAAGGGCCTCCTCACTTCTTCTCACTCCCACTTCAAGTCCCTTCTCCACTCAGCAGCCAGAGTGACTTTTTAAAAACATGAATTGTATCATAGCACGTGCCTGAACATTTCCACGGCTCCCCACCACATTTAGTACAGAATTAAAAAGTCTTAATGTGACGTCGTCGAGGTCCAGTCCCATCCTACCCCTCCTCTGTCACGCTTCACGCTGCCCTGCTTTAGTCTTCTAAGCACTGCAAGCTCTCCCTCCTCTGGGTCTTCCTCGTTACTGTTTCCAGTATGCCTCCTTATAGAAGTTACTTCCTCAGAGAAGCCCTCCCAACAGTTTGTATGGTATAGATCCCTCCCTTTAGTGTCTTGCATTTCCCCCTTGACTTTCCTTCCTTGTACTTGTCACAATTAGTAATCATTCATCCCGTTATTTCGGTGTTAATCTGAAGTCTTTCCCCAGTTGACCATAAGCCAAGGAAAGGAAATGTAAGTATTTTGTCCCTGTGTGCCCCCCACCCAGTACCTAGCCAGTGCTTGGCATGTAGTCAGGACTCGTAAATATTTCCTTGACTCATGAGTTTCTAAGTTTTACTCTTTTAAAATGGTGACTTGATCCCAGGTATTTGGTTTCAAGCCTTTACTCTCTGCCGAAATACTGTCCTCTTTTCTTGCAGGTTTTAGATGTGCTGGATCTGTGTGTGGTTGTTCTGCAGTCCCACAAGAACCAGCTCCTTCCCTTGGCTCATCGGGCGTGGCCCTCGCTCGTGCACCGACTCACAAATGATGACCCCCTGGCAGTGCTCAGAGCCTTCAAGGTACTGCACTGTTGCCCCACCGCCATCAGTCATGGGGATGGAGGGAAGTGAGCACAGAGCTCAGTGGTGTCTTTTGAGGGTAGTTCTCTTTTTATCCAGTTGTGACCTACTATACCTTGAAGAAAGTATAGGCAAATAAGAAAAGCACGAAGAAGAAAATAAAGTCAGTTTCCTTTTGAATTTGAAGCAGAGAGAACTAGTAGATGAAAAGGGCCACCGGTATTCATTGAGCACCTCCTCTGTGCCGGGCAACATGCTTGGCACTTCACACATGAGCTCATCTCCGTACAACAACCTTATAAGGAAGATACTGGTATCCCCATTTTTGACAGAGGAGGAAACAAGCCCAGAAAGTTAAGGAACTTTCTCAAGATCACACAGCTGGGAAGTGATAGTACCTGAATCTGAGTTCATGCCCATGTTCTGTGCACGGCACAAGAGTCAAGATGAAGACTGACTAGGTTCTAGCAATGGGCATCCTCTGTCCAGCTGAGTGACTCTGCACAAAGCCCATGACCACCTATCCCACCTTTCTCATAGTTGTTGTTGTCAAGGATAAAGTGGGACTATTTGGTGAAATACTTTGAAAAGTTAAAAGCCCTCTGTGTATGTAAGGTATTATTCTCCCTGACTTAGTTTGGCTTATATTAGCACACATATTTTGGTTTATTTATTTATATCCTTCCTTGTTCTGAAAAGCACTTAAGGCAAGTTACAGAGATACATTTACCATAGCAAGCTAATATCAGTTAGAAGTGGGTGAGCAAGGTAAGGCAAAGAAAAAAGATGCGTAGGATATAGAATGAAGCCAGGAATGCAGCTAATATACTTGGCTAAAGTATTTTGTTTCTGTAAGATTCTTCAGCATATACTGGACCAAAATGTAAGCTTACATTTAAACATATAAAAAAATCGTTAATATTTTTTTCCAAAGCAAAATACACAGAATGACACGCACACGCACATGTGGGTGGTGGGGGGAGAGGGAAGGAGGGAGGTTGGGGAGAGGAGAAGGAGGGAGGTCTTGCTAAGTCACTCAGATGTGCCGTTTTCCTTTATGAAAATTAATAGTTTATCTGAAATGACAGCAAGTATAGAAAAATGAAAAAATATAAAGATACGTGCACTGTAACTGAGGCTGCTTTTCCACTCCCAGACCCATTAGTGACCCTTGAGGTCCGTAAGGCCTTGTGCAGTCTTGCTGAGGGCCCTGAAATAAGTGCCTTGTTCTCTACACAGTCGGTAAATGTTCTCTGTCCTGGATATGCCTTGCTTACCAATTTTTTTGGTTTATTTATTTATTTAACTTATTTATTTTTGGCTGTGTTGGGTCTTCATTGCTGTGCGCGGGCTTGCAGCGAGCGGGAGCTACTCACTGCGGTGGCTTCTATTGTTGAGCAGCACAGGCTCTAGGCATGTGGGCTTCAGTAGTTGTAGCACACGGACTCAGTAGTTGTGGCTCACAGGCTCTAGAGCACCAGCTCGGTAGTTGTGGCACACGGGCTTAGTCACTCTGTGGCATGTGGGATCTTCCCGGACCAGGGATTGAAGCCGTGTCCCCTGCATTGGCAGGCGGATTCTTAACCACCACGCCACCAGTTAAGTCCCTTGCTTACCAATTTTTAAAGAAATTCTTATTATCCTGTATACTCAGTCTTGTGCAGTGGGGCAAAACGTTTCAATATGTTCTGCTTGAGAAGGTTTAAAACAAGACATGCAAAGAGACTGCCTGTCGTGAAAGATGGAATGAGGGTGATGTACATAAGAGATTGTGCCATGGAACAGAAGGAACTCTGACTCGGCTCGGCCCACTGGGGACCCTGCCCTGACCCAGCCAAGGACCTCAGCCAGCCACTGCCCTTTTCGATGCCTGTACGTGGCAGCAGCTGAGCTGGGCCTCAGCTACTGGGCCTGTTTATGTTTGTTCAGCTAGCTAGAGTTAAAAGCACAAGTCTTTCCTCAAGGGATGTTAGGAAGATTCAAGAGATGATCTATGTGAACTGCTTTAAGCTCTTTTTTTTTTTTTTTTTTTTTAACAAAAAAGGAAGGGATATCCAGGTGTTAACCATACTATTCATCCAACCCAAGATTCCTTTGAATTATTCTCCATGTAATCTGTATTTATGGATAGAAGCAGCCATGCCTCGGGAGCAGAGACCTCCAAATTCATAACTGTCAGAATCACAAACCGTGGGCAAGGAATTAACAGCAATAATTCTATTTTTCTTTTTCAAGCAGAGACCTAGATGAAATTGAATTAGCAAACATTCTTTTAGTGCTCTCGCTGCCTTGGCAACGTTCAGTCACTGGGTTGGGATCTGTTTCCACAGGTTTTGCGTACCCTGGGAGGCAAGTGTGGCGATTTTCTAAGGAACCGGTTCTGCAAAGATGTCCTGCCAAAGCTGGCTGGCTCTTTAGTCAGCCAGGCTCCCATCAGTGCCAGGGCTGGACCAGTTTACTTCCACACGCTGGCCTTCAAGTTGCAGCTGGCCGTCTTGCAGGGCCTGGGCCCCCTCTGTGAGAGACTGGACCTAGGTAGGTACCAGCCAGTCTCACCTGGGCACACACACTGTACACTGTCTCACCCGCATCCTTGCCCTCCTCACTCAGCCATGCTCCTGTCATCTCCTGTCCTGTGCACATCCTTCCATCTCACTTTGGCCTCATTTATCCATTTACCTTGCTGTGTTTTTTGACTTAGGGATGGAGTACAGAGCCCACAGCATCTTGCCTAGCTGTTCCAGTTTCATCAGACAGCAGTTGGTGCCTGCTCATCCCCACTGAAGCCTGAGGGCCAACGCTTGTTTTGTTTTTCCTCTCTGCAGGTGAGGGTGACCTGAATAAAGTAGCTGATGCCTGCTTGATTTACCTCAGTGCCAAACAGCCCGTGAAATTACAAGAGGCTGCCAGGAGGTACGTCTGCTTGATCACCCGCATCTCTTTACGTTTGTCCTAAATTATAGATGATTTGCTAATGGGGAGCAGAGTTGAGGCATCTCTGTTCTTTTCTCGTCTCTCTCTTCTTGCCAGGTTAAGATGATTTCTTTAACTGTGCCAACATCTAGAGGTGGTATTTTTACTGGACACATTTCCCTTTGAAAGTAACCTTTTCAGCTGCTGCAGCATCAGCAACAATTCCAAAGGGGCGAAAAGCAGAAAGGTGGTGTCTCGTAGGGGACAAAGCACTCTCCTGGCCAGAGGGTGATCGGCTTCTAGGCCCTGCTCTTCTGGTGACCAGGTGGCCCTGGCACCTCTCTCTCAGCTTCCTCATCTGCAAGGTGAAAGCATTGGGTTATTGATCTAGCAAACCTTGGCTCCACAGAGCGTCTTAATGGGTGTCAGGTGCCGTGAACCCTCACAAATTGTATGCAGAATTGTGTGTGTGCAAGCAGACATGTACGTATCTGTTTCTAGACAGATTCCACATCATTCATCCGATTATAATAGGAGTCTGTGAACCAAGAAACGTTCAAAACCACTGGACTAATGATTTAAAGGGCCTTTTCAACTCTGAAATTATGTGATTCTAATTTCTAAGAGTTTTGCTTATTAGAGAGTAGCTGTACCACCTCTAACAGGAGAAGCCATGTCTGGTTCCTAGAGTCCTAAAGGCTATTTATCAAAAGCTAAAACTCTGAGCACAGGAGCATTCCCCAGACTTGAGACCCAAAATGTACCCTGACCCCCTTTCCCCAGCTCTCCTTCTAGCCAGGATCAGCCTGTGCCCTGGAACTGCCATCCCTGGACATCTGCAGCTGGGGTGAAAGCCGGTCTGTCTGGCCTGGCACTGCCTGCCGCTCTGGGCACTGCAGCTCCACCTCCCCGGGCAAAGAAACAGTCCTTCCCACTTCATCAGCTTCTGGAAATGTGTCCCTGATCTTCCTTGGTGGGGTAGGCATCATCTTACTCCCTGAAGGGCTGAAATGCTGCTCTGTCTGTGAAATGAGGAAAGCCAACTTGCTCCCTTATAAGGCTTGCACTCTCTTGGAGCGATGGAAATATCTCTTTGAATTGACTTATTATCCTTTGCAGTTTTCTGCTCTTGATTTCCCCAGTTCCGTTTTTTCTTTCTGTCCCTTTCCTGTCACATCCCCTAGGCCCAGAATCCATCATGGTTTCTCAAGCACAGGGGTGCATCCCAAAGAGCTTCTTGTCCCCGGACATTCTTATTCCTTAAAGAACCAACTTAGGATGAAAATACTCCTCCTCCAGGCAGTGTTCCTGAAGCTAATTTTGCTATGACTTAAAGTACTACTCACAAACATGATGAATCCATCTTGAAGCAAATTCTTCTGGGTGCCTGTTACAGCCAAGAGTCCCAAAGATCTGGTTTTCTCATTCCCTGTCCCATTCTACTCTTCCAACACCCGCCCCATACCCATCCTTCAAGTTTAGACCCATCAAACAAGCTAATATTCACAATTCATTATCTTTTCATTTCTAATTTTCCTTATTTGCTACTGAAAGCAGTTAAACCCGAATTGGACCTTACTGACTCTTGAGTTGGAATTCCAGGTGCCTTGCGGGGAGGAGATTGCAGCCAGAGGCCTGACTGCAGCACCTCTTTGTTCCACTTGAGGTTGAGTCAGATGACCTCCCTCTGACGGGCGGGGCAGGGAGGAAGTGCAAGGTTGACTGCTTTACGTACATAGCATCTGCAAACTTATTTTGGAGTCAGGGGAAAGAATATCTGTGCTGTCCTTGATCAGGAGCTGACTTGGCATCTTGATTCAGAAATCAATAAGCTCTCTAAATGGGAGAAGCCGTCTGGGACAATAGGAAATCTGGTCTCTTTGTGAGTCTCATTACAGAGCGAAGAGAGGGAGATGGGTGGGCCAATTAGTATGAAAACAGTCAGACCGCCGGGAACTAATGAACGAGGTCCCCTGAGTGAGACAGAGTTCCCAGCTCAGCAAGTGGCCGCACATCCATCCGGTTGTTTGTCCTGAATTCTTCTCTTTCCGTCACACCCCACATCCATTCCAGACGTGAAGCCTGTCTACCTAACTTGCGAAATCTCTCTTCAAACTGCTTCTCTTCACCTCCAAGCTGCCAGGGCAGGCCAGGTCACCCTCATCTCTTACCTGATCCCCTGCAGGAGCCTCCACCCCAGCCCCCCGCTTCCACACGTGCCCTTCAGTGTTCCCCACACAGCTGTCAGTGACACCTCCACCCACTCAGGGGAGAAGAGAAGGCTGTGTCTTCTTTGCCAGGGCCCAAGGGGGAGATCTGTAGCCAGAGGGTTACAAAAACTCAAGCTTCAGCTCCATATTCAAAAGAACTAGTGAAAGCCAGAGCCACCCAGAGACGCCCCAGCTCCCTCAGAAGTAGTGACTTTCCGACACTGGGCAGCTGACCGGCTGGCTTTGGATCAGGCGGGGCTGGTGAGGAAACCTGTGAGGGCAGGTGGCTGCTCTGAGGCCTCCTGCATTCTCAGAGAGGTGGATGAGCAGCTGTGTCTGTAGGTCTGGCAGGCGGCGGTGGGGACCTCTGCAGAGCAGCCTCCCTCACGTTGGAATGGAGGCGAACTCGGCAGCTCCGTGAAAGTTCCTCTTTGTGTGCATTACAGTTGGATTTTTCCTTCCTCCTGTTTGCTTCTCCTGGCTCCAAAGAATGACCAAGCCTGTGTTTGCTTTATTAATTTGTCGTATTAAATAGAGCCTTTGTGGCAGGCTTTTACATCCAGGCTGTAAACTCTAGAAATGGAAATTGATCAGGGGGTGGTTGATACAATCGAGGCTGTAAATGCTAAGAACGGAGAAGCCATTCCAGTTTAATGCTTTTATCTAGCAAATGTGCCTTGTAAGGAGGGACATAAATCTTGCAACTGGTTGGGTGGGGGGCGGTTGGGGGGCGGGGGTAAGAGCAGGGTGTAACCTTGCCATTTGTTACCACCAGGTGTCACTGTGAACTGGCCATGCAAGAAAAAATACCGACTCCCCCAGAGTCCACCTAGTTAAATGACTTCAGTGGATAACAAATGAGAAAACCATATTTGGGGTATGGGAAGAGGGGTCAGCATATCATGAGCTGTAAATAAGGCCAAGTCCCTGAGAATAAGCACTGGATTACAAAATAACAGGTTATATCAGCCACGCCCGCATCTCAACCTTGGCAGACTTAACTGATATAAATTCTCCAGTGGCCCTAGAAGCCTCTGAGATACCTCCCAGCATGCAGTGGGCCTCCACAGTTCTGTGCCTTCCTGGCCACGGAGCTCTTCCTTCCTGCATATGAAAGGAATTTGAGATGAGAGCACATTCCCCAAATTTCTGTTTTTTTCCTTCCAACCAGTACATGCTCTCAGCCTGGTTCAACTCAACTCCATTAAAACCACACTCCTTGGGCCTCTCTCTGAGCAGCCTCTGAGGCTCCCTCTCTTGTGCATAAATCAGTCAGTCTTCCACCCCGGGGCTAAACGGAACAAAACTAGGAAATATCTATTTTTTAAAAGTTGAAGTCCATGCCCAACAATGCTCTTAGGCCACGTGGTTTCCACCCCCCAGTCCTACCTCCACCTGTCAACCCCAGAACCCAGGTGGGGACGCAGGGTGCCAGCAAGTAGTGACCAGCCTGTTGCACCTCCTGGTTGTACAGGTGCTGGGTGCTGTGGTTCCTGATGTGTGTGGTGGGGAAGGGAGAGGGCCCTCCCATCTTCCTCGCTTAGCCATTGTATGTACGGGCAAAGGGCACCAGTCTTGGAGGTGGACAAACGTAGGTTCACATCTTACTGGCTCTGTGACCTTGAGCAAATGACTTCATTTCCTTGCACCTCATTTCCTTCCTCTGTAAACTGGGTTTGGTGATAACACCTTCCTCCAGAACCTTCATGCGGATGAACAGCATTAATATGTAAGAGAGCACGCTCGGCGTTCATTCATTCTGCTGATTGGCTGAGGAGCTGCTGTGTGCCCGGCACTGTTGTAGGCACTGAAAATAGAAGGGAGCAGGAGAGAGGAGGCCTCTGCCCTCGTGGTGCTTACGTTCTGGAGTTTTATTTATGTGTGTATACACACCCTTATGGGAGATATATAAATTTGCCAAATATATAATGTGTTGTGTATATGTTACATGTACACATACACACGTGGGCATGGAATTTCTTGTTGGAAGCCTGCTTCATCTTGACTGAAATCTAAGCTGGGGTTTTCATCTCAGAAGGATCTTTTTCATGTTTTGTTCTACCTCCCCCTACCGCCTTTTGCATGAGAAGCCAGGACCAAGAGTTTGAAGGTTCATTTACTGACTGACTTCCCCGCTTTCTTTCTAGCAGTAGGATCCCAGCCCATCAAAAATGCAGCCGCTGCCTTCAAACCCTGGAGGAACTCAGACTGGCAGAGGCTCTTTCATTTCATCCCCGTCAGAGCCCCAACTCCTCTCACACATGGGCCTATTATATTTGAATGGATCAGGAGCCACAGAGGTGATCCAGTAGTTCAGCTGAGCTTGAAATTAGTAGCTCATCCCCTTAAATGGTGTGGGCAGTTTGTTTGAGCTTGGGCTGCAAAGCCGTTTCCTATGGAAATGAGGGCACTCCTAATGTTTTCCCTTTTGACATTCGATTAATAGTTGACAAATCCAGACCCAAGTAGTTAGCTTTCCCATTATCCATCTTTTGACAGGCATTGCTGCTTTTCTCTTCAAGGCTCATTGTTCTAAAAATACACTCAGATCTGAAGCTGTTCACTGTGCATATATAGGCATGATTTCCTGGTGTCAAAGATAAGAGACGTCTGCCATGCAGATTACAAACAAAGTGGGTTGCTGAGTTTCAGATCTGAAGGCAGGGACCTCTGTACTACTAAAATCAAATGCAGCCAGCCCTTCCCCTGCTTCCTTGGTGTTGTCACGTGATTGATAATCTGCCAGGGTCATCCATTTCACCACCCAGTTGGAAAGCCGAGTGTGGGGCG